GCACACATCCGTTACGCCACTAATAACGGAGCTGGTTTATTTGGCTCTTTATTTAACTTTGGAAACATTTAGCTCACTTAGTTTCCCCTAAATTAATTCTTCTGGATAATTTCTAAAGCGCTAATTTACTTGGCTGTTTCATAAACTTTGATTTGAATAAGGTTAATAATCTGTGTTGAAGTTTTGGTTGTTTGTTAAGAATTCTTCAAGTAATTAGACATTTAAATTTGTGCTTTTATTTTGAAGACTATTTACGCAGCAGTTCCACTTCCTCTCCTCGTGTTTCTCTTTTTTATATATATTCTTTCTATTGAAATAAATCAAAATACATTTCTATTTCTTTTTATCAAATATATATAATATATTTCATTTTATAAAAACAAATACACAAACAAAAATAAACAATATGCTTTTAAGCTATTTAACAAAATCCAGGGAGATTATTTACAAATATATTAAATAAGGTTAATAAATTAAGATTTTTTTGGTTTTCTTACATTTTCTCCACCAGTGATGCAATGCAGCAAATTAGGTTGATGGCCTGTCCAGGTTTCACTCTGGGTCTTGATTCACTGCTGGAGGAAGGCATCAGAACCTCTGTGACCTTGAGCAAGCGGTTGGATAAAACGACAAAAGTGGAGCTTCAGATGAGAATGGGAGCCGCTGAGTCCTGCAGAGAGGAGATGATGCTGATAACCAGCTGGCAACATGCTGGATATTTTCATAGGAAAGGCTTTTTGGCTCTTGGCATCCATCTCCTTTATTCTCCTGTCCTCCTTTTGTCCCAGCAGCGAATTGCCTGAAACCGGCTGATTTTGGCTTCACAAAGCCAGTCTAACAGACACAGAAAAACTGTTTATTGGAAACTTATTGGAAACAAAACCAGAATAACTCAGAGATAAAGGAAATTAGAACTGCAGTGACTGTTGTAATGTGAATACAATGTTAACACAACCATCATTAGATGACTGGAGACCAAACACACACACACTACAAGCTGAAATATTAATTAATTAAACCAAAAGAATACTGACCAAATCTGTACATTATTCTTCTGCCTCCAACATGGTAAATTATATCCAAAGTCTCAATGATATTTTCACTGATTGCCATGTAATCAACCAAAAAACCAAACTCTGGTCCTCCAAACCTCGGCCTGGGTTCGGTTGAAGCGAACTCTGGCTCGCCAAGTAGAACAGAAATCACTCCAAAAGCAGGAAGTGGACTACAGCACAGGGCATTCTGGGTAAATCCAACCAAAGCTAACCTGCTAGCCTAGCGCTAGCAGCAGAAATGGCTCCTGGTCTTTAGCCTAAAGAGAAATCCTCCAATCGCTAAAATCCTCCATCTTGTCTCCATCTGGTGAAGAAGGAAGTTGCTCTCAGTGTCTTCAGAGGTTTTTGTGTCGTTTCCTTCAGTGGTTCTTGGTGCAGCGCCCCCACAGGCCAGAAGGGGAACAGGCTGGTTTGACTCAGAGCCACAGCAGCTGGACATAAAACAGACTATCGGGGGGGAAACAGCCTTATTAAACTGTGTATGTTTCCGGTTTCGTATGCAGAGAGAGTCTAATGGTTGCTATGGAGACCTGGAGTTCTCCAGCTGTGAGCTTTGGAGACTTTTTTAGCCTTCTCTAACATCAAGATTAAAATGGGTCAATATCCAGCCTGGAGGCCGCTCTGCCTTGTCATGTTTATATTTATTCATTAAGCCCTTGAGAACCAAACTCCTATAAACTCCAAGTAGCCTAAAACAATATTTTTTCCCTGTGTTTGATTTTGCGCCTGTGATAAAGGATGGATTTCACCAGGGGTGTCAACAGATTTGTCTGTGTCTGGTTGCCATCCACCTGGGCCAGCGGCGCCTCGGGTAAATCTCCATCAGCCATCATCTCCTGTCACTACAAACATTCAGCAGCGCAGACGGCGGCGCCCTGTGGCCTGTAGAGTCACGGTTAAACGCAACGCACTTTTCTTCTGGCTGGCATGTCGCCCAGCAGGGGGGCAGCCTGCTGTGTCACCCAGCCATTAATACAAACACTGAGCAGTGTGTCTCTCTGTGTGTGTGTGAAATGAACCAAACCTTGTGCAATAGTGTGTTTAATTATTAGTTTCCCTCCATTTGAAAGCCACAGAGGCTGCAGCCATCGGTCTGAGGGAGAGCGCTTCTGAAAGTCATTTTTACTTACAGCAGATGAGTTGAGAGCAGTGGATATGATTAATAACCCACACAGACATTTGTTAAATTAATCAGGCGATTGTAGATGTAGATTTAGAAGAAGCAGCTCATTTCCATCCATTTAGGATGAGTAAGAGCCAAACGTCTGTTTCACATGCTGATGATCGCTGCAGAGAAATTTACAGCAGAGTCCAGGATCTTTTCATCCGATGATGTAACCATGTCAACCCATCACAAGGCTGCTCTGGTGCCCCTGATTGGTCCTCTACCTGCCTTATCACCTGAGGGAATATGACTCATCAGACCTCCATTAAGGGACTGTCATATCGCTGTCTGGATTCGGTTCATCACTGACCTGCTGCAACAGAATCAGCTCCAGTGTTCGTCACCATGAGGGAGCAGAAACAGAAGAGGCTTTTAGCAGAGATAACCTTGGTGCTGTTGCTTTACTGAGCTGAATATTCCTCCATGTTTCTTGGCTGCAGCTGATACTATTTTATGTTAATCAACTGAGAGCTGTACTGTTTGCCAGAGATTAAAACGTAAAAGGCTCTTTAAATCACAGCACCGCCGCTCTGCAGAGTGCATGGTGATATTAAAACCTCAGGTTGTTTCTGATTGATGTCACACCTGTTCTCAATCATCCAACACTCAGAGTATTCACACCTGATCCGTTTGGTCCGCTTCAAACAGACCAGAGTTCATCTCCCCGTTGGTCCGGACCGTTTCTCAGAAAATACTCAAACAACCAACCAAACCCAGAATCACTTTCTGAAGCGTCTTGGTCGACTTCGGGTGAGAATACAGAATGACCTCCAGCCCAACCAGCAACAGGACACTAATATTGTTTTGGACTTTTTGAGCCACCGTAGCTGGGCATCATGTTAAAACGAGTCCTTCAGTAGCTGCATTTCCATCAACCGTAAAACCTCTCGTTTAATAAAAGGTTTTTGCGTTGGGGTGACGTGGTTTCTCAGCTGTACTGGAATAGATGGATTCTGAGGAACTGCAATGGAAACACTTTTTGCATCATACGAGTCATGTAATCAACAGGCAGATGTTTCTACTGGAGGAAACCATGAAGAAGACGACAGGAAGTGGAGGGAGGATGATGATTGTTTCTGTTTTTCAATGTGCAGCTGGTTCCTCCATCTCATGGTTCATAAAAAGCTGCATCATTCCAACGTGTTGAATCAATCGCTCTTCTGAAAAATTGACGACTACCATTTCCCCAAAGAGCTGCTTCCAAGTAGGCGGGGCTTGTCACTCCATCACCTGGATAAGACGCCGACGTCTCCTCTGATTGGCTGATGAGCGTTAGCGCCATGGCTGAATTTATATCTCCTTTACCTGTTTACGTCCCTCACTGATGTTTAATGATTGTGTTTTTCAAATCCATGTAGAAACGTAGAGGATCGGTTTAGGGACGTTAGTAAAACTCAGTTTTATCAAGCTGATATGGTTCAAATTCTGAAAGGTTCCCATTCTGTTTCAGGACAGAGCAAAGCGATTGGTCGATGTCTAAGAGAAAAACTGATCTCAGCAGAAAAGGGCCAAAAGCCCGACTGCTTCATTGCAGAACCACTCAGCCTCCTGCTTCCTCCTTTTATGAACCCTGGAGTTGAAATGAACACTACATGAGCAAATGAAAAAAACACTGAATAGATTTCATATATGATGACTCACATAAATAAAAAACTTTAGGCGCTGGTCATTTGGATCTTTAACACAAACCATAAGAACCAAGAAGCAGCTGGGAGCCACTTTGAGTTTATAATTTGTGTTTCAAACAGACCAGGGTTTAAAATGGGTTTGTTTTCTCACTTCCTGCATTAGTCTGGAGCCACATTTGACTGATCTGAACCTGCAGGACCCAGGATGGACCCCTGAGGAACTCCACAGATAAGTGGAGCTGCAGCAGCAGAATCTGGACAGAGACAGCTGAGAGTGAAACATGAACCTCAGACCTGTGGAAGATCTGGGCCTGCAGAGCAGGAACAGAAAGTAGAAGATGAAGGTAGAAGAGCAGGTCTGCTCCGGCTGTAAACGCCAAACCAACAGGGTGTGAAAGGACATCAGCAGTTTCAGCCTCTGATCTACAACCAGCACCGTTTCACATCCCAGAGACTTTAGATCTGACTATTTACAGAGCTCCACTTCGATCCCAGCTAAAAGCATTTTTTTTATTTATGCTGCTTCCTGGTTTAGGGAGGTGAAGCAGATCAGAGATCAGAACAAAGGAAGAAAGTTTTTATAGCACATCTGAAAAGGCTAGCTTTAATCTGAAGGAAACAAGGAAATAATCAAAATAAAAACCCAAACCCCCAGAGTCACGGCAGCCTCGGCTTTATGTGAATTATTAAACATATTTAATTTGAATGTTAGAAACGCTGCGCGTTCATCTCGCTGCTGCAGAGCGGCAGGTCTCAGCGGCACCACGCAATGAAAAACTTTCACTGTTTCCATTTGATTTGCAGGATGTAGAGAAGTCCAGGCTGTAAAAACATCAGACTCTAATACTGTGTTTAAATTTGACTGAACCAGCTGAAAGGGAATTAAATGCTGCATAAATCTATAATGTCTATTTTTAATTTGCTAGGTTATAAAAGTTTAAGAAATATATAAAAAAAACAGTTTGTCAGACTTCAGAGGATCAGATGAAATGTTTTCTCCTCTCCACTATTTAAAGCAGGTTGGATTTGCTTCATTGTTCAGGCGCCTTTGTGTCAGAATATTATGCAAATCCTCCTCAGTCTGTCGATCTGAGCTCTGGCTCTCAGCACTGACTGGACTCAGGAAGATGATAAAACCCTCACATTCAGTAAGAAATTCATGTCATTCTTTTTACCACAGATTTACCTAAACAGTAACTGCACATAAATAACTTACCCCAACAAGCAAAATAATAATAATAAAAAAAATGACCCAGTTTTAAAAACTCAATGTCACTCAGAAATCTGCTTTTGTTGGCTAACAGGATCCATTTTGCAGATCTGAACACATTTCTGTCATGACTGGCAGTGACGGATGTGTCTGAAGAACTAAACGGACCTGCAGCCAGTCGGACTCCCAGCATTAAACTGGCCTCCCCTGTGGAGGACATATTGGATCTCAACAGGAGCTTTCTGACTAAATAAAGTCTAAATAAATAATTAACGTCTGCAGAAACAAAGACAAGGATCTGCATGTTGCTTCTGAATGTGACAGAGCTGAAATGGATGGGTTTATCCTATGGTTGTTGTGCAGAAGATCAGATTCAGAGTTTCTTCTTCTCTACTGGATAGAAAAAGAAAAATATCTGCTGAAACCTGAAGAAAGAAAAACGTTTCAGCGACTCTGAAAACAGGTTAGAAGTGATCAGATCTAAAAGTGAGACAGAAATACCACTGTACAGATTTCATTCCTGTTAGTCTCACACACACACACACACACACACACCCACACACACACACGATTTATTTCAACGTAGCATCAATTATGAATCACCTGCCTTCTTCACTATGCATCAGTTGAGGCAAAGCAAATAAAGACTTTATTCTACATTAAGTGCATGAAACAGAGAAATGACCTAAAAACACTTGATGTGTGAATGTGTGTGAGCTTTGCATGATGTGTTTGTGAGCTGAAGTGTAATCGCTGCAGCAGGAAGTCAGAAAATCAAACTTCTGATTATATGTTCACTTTTAGGATTAAAGACTTTCAGCTGCCATCAGCTAAACCACCAAACGGCCTCAGTAAAGATCGGAGCTCTAACTGGAGACCAGCTTCTCTCCATCGCTCTGTCTGCAGCTGACACACCTTCAGCTCTGTTTTCGGTTTTCCATGAGGTTTGGGAATGTGTTTATGGGATTTTTTCACAATTCTTCCAGAGCCTCAAGAGGAAACTCTGGAACTATTTCTATAAAACCACGATCATGAAAATCACCATAAAGCTTTGAATTCTGCAGCTTTTCGGTTCCTTTAACTGGATCAGAGGGGTTAAAGGTCAGCCTACGCCACTATCTACCTTCCACTAAACTTTCAGGCAAGCAACCAAACTAAACTACCAAAGCCAGATTCACTTTCTTGTGATTCAGGACTGCAGAGAACATTTTGAGCCCAGAGGAGATGCATTCATCAATGATCCATTTTTTATTAGTTATGACTTCCTAAAAAATATTGAACCATGAGTTTCTACAACCTGCTGCATAATTAATGCATGTAGTCTTGGTCTTTCTAATAAGTTTTTAACATAACTTTTCTAGCTGTAGATGCAACATAAAAGTTGTTTTTTCAGTGAAATTATATCATAGAACAAAGAATCTGAGGAACCTGGAGGTCAAAAAAAAGTTATTAAAGTTCTGGTGACAGTATTAATGATTAATGAAGCTAAACCAGACCAAACTTCTCCTGTTTTAGACCATTACCAACAAATCAGCAAAAATTATTTATATTTACTACAGTAACGACAGAAAAAAAATAATTTTTATTTATTAATGTCATCAGGCTCAAAAGTTTACATACAGAATGGCTTCTGTCTCTAAACACAGGCAGTTTGGGTCTCCCACAGTCCAAAAACAACCGCGAGGTTACAGATTTTCCCTGGTTGCTTTCATGCAGAGGTCAACTCAAACTGCAGATCTCTTAAACACACAGGACCGACCCGCAGACCTCAGCAGACCAGAAGGATCCAACCGTCCCAAAACACAAGCCAGATACTGCCATCAGAGAAAACTTTGATCCAACTGTTCTCTGTCCTTCCAGTCAGTCATCACAAACAAACACAGTTTAGCCGTTACATCACTTCCAGGTCCATCTGCTCTGATTCTGCCTCAAACTGGGTCCAAATCAGAAACAGTTTCACCACATGACATTTTAAACTGAGGCTGGAAACTGTAAGCATTACAGAAAATAATGTAACCCAAAATAAAATCAGACAATGATAAATTGATAAAAAATAAATATTTTGCAATCTAAGAACCATCAACTGAGGCTCTAATCAACCTTTGACCTCCAGCTGTAATTAAACAGACGTGGCTCCTTTAAGGCCGCCACACTGACTGAAGATTTAACTGAAGCAGAAACAGGTGAAGATTTGATCATCAAAAAGCATTTTAACTATGTATTGAATATTTATGGAGGATTTGGATCATTAGCATGTAGCCATTAGCTCATTAGGAAGAGAGAATAAAATAAGAGCAAATAAGGTCTAGTGTTTAGTAAAATATGAAGTAGTGTTGGGAGGAGTTTATTGGTGAATACATAATGTAAAGAAGAGACCTGAAGGAGCTGACATGTCCTGACTCACCAGTCTCTCCCTGTCCTCTCCAGGGTGTTTGGACAAATCCATCCCCAGGCGTCCAAACTCCATTTATAGTTCCTGGGACAGATCGAGAGAGAGAGAGAGAGAGAGAGAGAGAGGGAGAGAGAGAGAGAGAGAGAGAGAGAGATTTGAGTTGGTGATTTATGATGTAAGGCTAAAATATTAAATATTTATGAAAACTAAATTATATGTATTAAAATGTATTTTATTTCTGTAGATGGAAGTTGTAAGATGCCAAACTCACCTGAGTGAAGGTTTAATCCTTCACAGTCGTAAGTGTATAGTCAAATCATCCAGTAAGAGAAATTGCAAGAGCAGTTGGACAGAGGAGATAAAACTAGATATGATTATATCCAAAAGAAAGATGGAGAATTTAAATATGTATTAGAATAAAGAAATGATTTATTATATAACATCTGAGATTTAGTCACAGGATTAAAAAACACTTAAAATATTCAGCAGATATTCTACAGGTTGACATGTTCACTGAGGATAAATAGAATATATTTCCAAATACACACGAGATATTAATTATATCTCATGTGTATAAAAGTATAGAATAATAGAATAAAAATAAAATAGAATAATAGAATAAAAGTAATCTAGAAGTGAAGGAACTGCTCCAGAGGTCGTCTGGGGACGCAGCTTTCCAGAGTTTTTAGTTTCTTTAGAAGAATAGATATTTTGGAAACGACCTGGTAGCATTATAGCATCTTGTTCATACTTAACAGAGAAGGTGGCTCTAATGCACCTTAAAGTTGTTTGCCAACCACCATAAAGAATACAAAAACAATATTAGAGGGTTTTTTGGTGCTGTTAGGCGATTTGTCCTGAATTGTCCAGAAAACGGAGCCAACTTTGGACCAATAAACCTTCTGCTTCCTCCTCCTCGCCCCGTCTGGCACCTCCCTGTGAGTCCAGAGAGGAAAATGTGTCAAACCACCGAAAGAAAGATTTAACACATGCAGGAGGCGTCATGCTCTGCTGAGAGAGAGATGAAGACAGAACAGATCCGGTTCCTTTAAACGGGTCAAAGTGATCCAGAAAAACTGCTGCTGCTGTTTTGAATTGGACCTAATGAACATCTGCATGTCTGCAGCAGCAGAGACGCTCCAGGGGAACTGAAACAGGCGATGGATCGTTTTCCACAGAAGTAATTCTGAAGAAAATTAATAGTTTGGTATTTTCATTTTATTTTATTCTTTATTTTGGAAAAAGCTGCTGCTGGAAAACAATAAATTTTAATGTTTTATTTCACACATGTTGATTAGAGGAATATGGATGAGTTATTATGAGGAACCAGAGGAAACAGAGACAGGAGGACTCACACCTCCTCTGTTATGATGTGACAGCCCGCCTCCTCCTCTTCCTCCTCCTCCTTGTTTCTCTTCTCCTCCTCCTCCGTGTCTCTCCCACATCTCTCCATCACTCCGTGAGCTTCGCCTCTCCTCCTCTTCCTCGGGGTTTCCTCCTCAGACTCAGCACCATGTTCCTGACGTGAGGTCGGTCAGCCTGAGCGGTCGGTGTGTTTTCGGACCGGCTGGATGCTGTGAGCGGCGGGAAGGCAGAGCAAACCTTCATCCTCCACTGAGTGCCTTTGTTCGGAGCAGCAGCAGCAGCAGCAGCATGGATCTGTCCTTCATGGCCGCGCAGGTCGGTGGCTGATCTGAACTTTCCTTTAATTAGTCAGCTCTGATTGAATGGGTATGGCTGGCCAGCAGGTCAGAGCGCGCGCACTTTGTCAGCCTTCCGGTTTCCTGCTCAGCTCAGACGGAAACAGTTCATCTATTAATAACACCGATATTGGCGAGCGGCGCTATTTTTATAATATTGAGAGCAGATTCCTCTGAAACTTCACCAGGTTTCTGTTCGCTTCGGTTCTGAGGAGCAACAGCGTCTTAATACTTTCTAATGTTCCTGTTTCTTCTTTTGCGGGAGTAATTAGGCTAAATTACAGTAATTGGTGCGAAAATTACGATTCCTGCTTTGTATAATAATGCTCTTCATGTTGCATCTCGTGTGGAGGAAGATGAGGAGCATTCTGCTGCGCTGGTGTTTTCTAAGCCATCATGTCGGTTTGTTTCCTCATCCTTTCCATGAAATCCCTCAGAAAGTGTCAGAGGAAAGTATTTTTTCCCAGTTGGATTCCCCTTCCCCACCTGTTGCTGCACACTGTCAATCAGCTGGCCCAAATAAAGCCCCTCCATGTTTCCTCTTTTGTTTACATGAAAAACAGATATGGATGTTCAGAAATATTTAGTTGAGAAAAACAAACTGTAATGATGCAGAAACCAGAGCAGCTTCCATCTGTCCTGTCCTTTATTATATATTATGTCATAATTTGGCAACTTTTCCTTTGTCAGAACTGCAGCTCTCAATATCAAAACTTAGAAATATATAAAGAGATAACTGGTAGAAATATTCACCAAATAATCGGTTTTCTTTGTTTTGCTACATAAATCTTTGAAAACATTATTCCAGTTTGTCTTCTGCAGGTTTTGTTTTAGCATTTAAAGTTTAATTAAAGCCACAGACTCATTCATTTAGCTCAGACACGGAGAAAAGAGATTTTACAGCTGAAATATGTCAAGATATGTAGGCAGCTACAACCACAGGCTGACTACCAGAGCAGATAGCTTCACTAATTACTCAATGAAAAATAATCTACAGTTACAACTACTACAAAATGGTTGATAATTTAATTTAATCTCTGTTTTAAAATCAAAATATCAAATGTTTCAGATATTAAACTGTTACAATTCAATATCTTGAACCTGAAATATTTTTTTTCTTTAAGGTTTGTGTGCCTCTCGTACCGACTCGTTTCTGTTTTTAAGTTTGTCTCCATTAGTGCCTGGTTTTAAGCCCCCTCCCCCCTCGTCATGCCAGCGGTTTGCTTCACTCCATACTTTCTCCATGCAGCTATTAAGGAGCTCATTGCATTATTTTTTTCTGCTCAGGGCTTTTCTGCAGGGCCAAATCTTTCCTTAAATCAAGGCCGTCTAAATGGAAATGCATCGGGGCGTGGGCTCATCCGAGAACAGAGATGTTCTGTGAGACCTGCTGGAAGGAGAGCTGGTAAATACTCTGCTTCCTGCACGGAGGACAGAGACCAACACATGAAAACTCTCAGAAACATTTGAACAAATGTAACTTTCACTCATGTTCTCTGATAATTCAAACAGAAACAGGTGAATCTGAAACCTGCAGGCGGCCAAAACAAGATGGAGGTATTTATTAATCATGACTGATTATTTGTTTTTAGTAAAGAATTAAAGGAAACAATCAGACTCTTCTGCAGACATAGTTGCTCTTGAATTGAAAATCAACAAGACATTGTAACTTTTTGACAGATAGACAGATGAAAAGTTTTAAATAATGAAAAATAAAGACTTGCAGAGTCAGGAAGGCAGCAGGACGTGGAGCTGGTGAGAACAGAATCCAACAATCAGCAAAACAGAACCAGGAGCTTAAATACCGAACCGGTCTGACAGGAACCGATCCGCAAAAACACAAAACCAAACAGTTTAGTGACAATATCTCAGTACACTTGGAATAAGACAAAACTAACTTACAGGCAACTTTTCATCAAGAAATGGGAGCTTTTCTAAAGTCAATAACTCCTTAATACTGACAAACAAGTTCTAGTTTCACTGGGAGATTATTTCACCTACAACATGGACAAATGTTTTGGTACAAGTGAAATAATCTTCATGGGGAACTTTGTCATTTTGAGAGAGCCAGACTTTCAGAGGATAACAGGAAGGCTGTGAGTCTCATGAAGATGGTGGGAGTTTGTCACGAAAGACCAAAAACATTTTAAATTACATCCTGTTAAACACTTCTTAACGCTCTTACAGATGAATCACAAAGAGCATCAATTCATTTCTTTCATTTTAGTTGTTAATGTTATTTTTTTAAAGGAAATGAAGGATCATAGTTCATTGACTAATTTTACACAGAAGGGATTTAAAGATGATATTAAATGACAATAGAAAAATACATTTAGCTGCAAACAGAACCACATGCTCAACAAACTGAAGCATTTATTATCGCAGCACAAACAGCTGATTAAATGCTGCCTGCAGCTGCTGGCAGAGGAAGCTGTTTGGTTTTTACCTCTGGGTGAACTTCAACTCACAAATAAGAACTATTTTCCTCCCATAGATCTGTAGTTTAAAAAAAATCAGATTTACTGAAGGTCCAAACTGTTTCCACAGCTGGTCGCTGCTGCGGCTCATTAAAGATGAAACCTGAATGGCCAAAGCAGAAGAGTTCAGAAACAGTTCAGCTTACCTGACCTGGAGGTGACTGCCTGGTTTCTCATCGTTTAAATGTTAAAGACTCGGCTGGCTCTGCTCTGCTCCTCCTCTCTGTTTTATGAGCCACTTCTGAAAAATCATTCTGATTTTATTCACAAGAGTTTTCTGACTCTGGAAGTGTGATTTACATGTTTCCCCTGAATATGACGCAGTAATCAAACCGACCTAAGCTTCATATGTCTGCAGTCTGACTACATGCAGAGGTTTCCTCTCCCTGTCTAAATCTGATGTCTTCCTTCAGTATTTCCACACATTGTTCCTGTTCTGGGATGTGAAGTGTCTTTCCTGCATCATGATGCTGCCACCGCCGTGCAGTCATTCTCAGGCTTTAAGCTTCTCTCTTCTTCCTCATTACATCCAAACATTTCACACTTAGTTTCATCAAACTGCAGGACGAGTCTTTAAAAAGATTTTTATGGATCTTTTGGAGTTCTGGCCTCTTCCTGTCTGATCGCCTTTCTGCTCATTTCAGTTTAAAACTCGTTTTACTGATTAACCTTCAAACCAGCTTCATGTTTTGTTCACACATTTCAGACCTGCTCATCTCCGGACACAGAGCTGACCTGAATGGTTTGATTGTTGGACATTTCTGGTCAAACTTCAATATAATTGTTTAGATGAACAGAAGCTTCAGGTTTTCTGCAGCTTTTCTCCTGGTATCTTTGCTGATTCCTCTGGATTTTGCCAGTTTGAAGGATTACATTAAAATTTAGCCACAGGTGCATTTTTCTCAGATTTAGTTAGAAAAGAAAAGTTTTCTATTTTATCATGAATTAAAAACATATTGTTGAATTTCCCAGCAGTTTATAATTCTGGATATTGTAATTTTGTAATAAATTTCTGTTTTGGACAGTTTTCAGCTGAATCCTCTTACTTTAGTTTTCTCCAGCCTGTTTATGATTTTTTTCTGTTCATTTCATTTTGTTTCTGTGTCTGTTCACCTGATCTTGATGCCTATTTGATTTGTTTACATCACCATGAAAAAACATTAAAAAAGGGAAAAATCAGAAGTCAGAGATGAGAAATGACTCGTTAACTGGAGGAAGTTTCCTTCCTGGCGCCTTGGAAAATTTCACAGTTTTTTTGACATTGAAATAGATAATTTCTCTGCTGTGGAGTTTTGTGCCCAGAAGTCACTGAAACTTTGATCACTTTTAAAAAAGGAGTTTTTGCTTTAACTTCTTTTATAGATTTTCTTCCTGTTAGTAATAAAGAACCAGCATTTCATTGGAGAGATCATTGCTGCTGTGGTTTACACCAGCTTCCATTTAAATCTATTTGAAATGAAAATCTGTTTTTGAAAATGATCATGCAGTTAAGGTTGGGAGCATGCATCATGTGCGTCCTGCTGCAGACCAAAGCTGGCTGTTGGGCTCTTTTATCACAGAAACTTGGGGAAATGCTGTCTGTACAATATGTTTGTGTAATAGTTTTCCTTTGGCATTAATGCCTCAGTAGTTAAAATAAAAAGCCGTCATTCATCAGGCTGTAGCTGCGCCTGATGGGTGACAGTCACTGTGGATGCTCAGCTGAACCCAGTAAATTATTCTTTATCTTTCAATTAGACTTCATCCTCTGGGGATGAAGACTTTAATGTTTCTGTTCTGTCTGCTTTCTTTTGTAAAGCTGCTTGACCTCAGAGTGTTTGCTGAAGTCAGATGAATGTAGAAATGGTAGAAACAGAAACAGGAGACAAACTGTCACCGGATCTGAGTCCAGCAGAGAAGCTTCTGGATTCGGCGAAACGTGATTTTAACTTTAAATTTAATCTGAGGTTAACATTTCATCCTCCACGCATTACAGCTTCCACTCATGACCTATTTACCAAAACCGTGAAATAAATGGTTCTGTGATCCGAGAGCCTCTGACTGGATGGAGCGTCGGCATGAAGACGGGAGCTTTGTGTTTCAGACCTAGTGGAGGTTAACTCTGACGTGTTTTGGACGGGACTCGTTTCCGTCCTGGGTTCCTGCCAGACTCAGCCTGCAGGTGTTTCCTGTCCAGATCAGGCTGACTGGCAGCTCTGGACGTCTGCTTGTTTCTCACACAATAAATAAAAGTCAGACCCATGCAGAAAGATTTTTTCTCCATCAATCCGTAATTTTCTGACTCAAACAGAAATGAGAGCAGCAACATGTTGAGCTTTGTGTGGCAGTCCATCAGCATCTCATCACTTCCAGTCATGTGAAGAATCAGGACGCTCCATTACATGTTCAGATCTTTCTAAGAAAATGTTCACATAATACATATTTTTATTCATGGAAAATCGATTTAATTACAGTTAAACACCCAAACTGACCCGTATTGAACTCATTACATAAATGACCAGAA